GAGAGACAGAGAGACAGAGAGAGACAGAGTGCAAGCTGGGGAGGGGCAGAGAGAGAGGAAGACACAGAATCCAAAGCAGGCTCCAGGCTCTGAGCTGTCAGCACAGAGCCCGATGCGGAGCTCGAACTCACCAACTGTGAGATCATTTCTTGAGCAGAAGTCAGACACTTAGCTGACTGAGCCACCCAGGCACCTCTATAGGATTTTTTTAAATGTTCTTTTTTTAAAAGTTTTTTAAAATGTTTATTTATTTTTGAGACAGAGTTTGAGTGGGGGAGGGATAGGGAGAGAAAGGGAGACACAGAATCTGAAGCAGGCTCCAGGCTCTGAACTGTCAACACAGAGCCCGACGTGGGGCTCAAACTCGTGAACTGCAAGATCATGACCTGAGATCATGACCTGAAGTCTGCCACTTAACTGACTGAGCCACCCAGGCTCTTCAACTTAATGTTCTTTTCTAAGATGAGGAACTTGTCCTTTATTCTTTGTTTGGTGAGATTTTTTTCCTTTTTTTTTTAAATCATGAATGGATGTTGGATTGCATTATATAATTTTTTCTGCTTTAACTAATACAATCATATGATTTTTCTCCTTCAAAATTTTGATATGGCGAATTACATTGAATGACTTTGAATGTTGAATCAGCTTTGCGTATCTGCAATAAATCCCATTCATTGTGGTGTATAACTCTTTTTACATCATAGGATTCAATTTGATGATATTTTGTTGAGCACCTTTGTATCCATGGTCATAAGAGATCATAGAGTTTCTCTATCTGGTTTTAGTATTAGAGTAATGCTGTCCTCATAGAATGAGTTAGAAAGTGTTCCTCCTGCTTCTATTTTTTATAATAGATTGTCAAGAATTGGTACCATTTCTTTTTTAATTGTTTGGTAGGATTAACCAATGCAAATATCCAAGACTTGCGCTTTTTAAAAAAATTTTTTTAAAAGTTTACTTATTTTTGAGAGAGACAGAGACAGAGAGAGAGAAAGAGAGAATGAGTGGAGGAGGGGCAGAGAGAGAGGGAGAAACAGAATCTGACACAGGCTCCAGGCTCTGAGCTGTCAGCACAGAGCCCAATGAAGGGCTGGAACCCATGAACTGTGAGATCATGACCTGAGCTGAAGACTGGAGCTTAACCAACTGAGCCACCCAGGCACCCCTAACTTGTGCTTTCTTTTTTGGAGGGTTATATATTATTCATTCAATTTCTTTAATAGATTCAAGGCTATTCTGATTATAAATTTCTCCTTGTGTAAGCTTCAGCACTTTTCTGTATTTCTATTTTGGCCCATTTCATCTAAATTATCAAATTTATGGGGCACCTGGGTGACTCATTTGGTTAAGTGTCTTACTTCAAAGCTCAGGTCATGATCTCACAGTTCGTGAGTTCAAGCCCTGCATCAGGCTCTGTGCTAACAGCTCAGAGCCTGGAGTCTGCTTCTGATTCTGTGTCTCCCTCTCCCTCTGTGTCTCCCTCTCTCTCTCAGCCCCTCCCCTGCTTTTGCTCTGTCTCTACTATCTCAAAAATAAATAAACATATAAAAATTTTTTAATTATCAAATTTGTAAGGATACAGTTTGTTGGAGTTTTTCTTGATTATAATTTTGATGCACAGGCATCAGAAAATTTTAATTTAAATCCATATACAGTTTTTTAGTGTCCTTTAAAAAAATTTTTTTTAAGTTTATTTATTTATTTTGAGAGAGACAGAGACAATGCTAGTGCAAAGGGGCAAAGAGAGAGGGAGACAGAGAATCCCAAGCAAGCTCTGTGCTGAAGGTGCAGAACCTGACACTGGGCTTGAACGCATGAATCCTTGAGATCATGATCTGAGCCAAAACCAAGTGTCAGACATTTAACCAACTGAGCCACCCAGGAACCCCTTTATCTTCTTTTTGTGTATTGCTATATCCTAGATAAATTTCTTTGTCAATTATTTTACGTTCCATTATTCCACATGGGAATATTAGCATGTGTGGTGAGTGGGATTAGATTTTGGAAAGCAATCATCACATATCCGGTATTAAATAAATTCTGGGCAGGGAGTTATGTCAAAATGAAAGGCTGACACTGTTCCTTGTGGGAATGGTTACAGGAGAACACAGCAGGGTGCTGATATAGCAGGACCCAGAAACATCTTTATAAATTAGCCAATTCATGAGAATTTCCCTTGTGCTGAGTTGGGGTTAGGGGCATGGGGAAAACAGGGACTGAAAACGGTGACTGGTGGTTGGGAAGCAGAAGTTAACAGACCATCCTTGCACTGTATCCTGAGTTTTCCCTTAACCATTCTTAGAAACCAGAGCAGGCCAGGGCACAGCTAGAGGGGATGCAAGATCATCTCATTGGAGCACAGAACTTGACTTCTTTGAGCCTCTGTTAAGGAGGTCTAGGAGGTAAGGAATAGGGAGATTCCATTCTTGTTTTGTCTTCAGACTTCAAGAGGTCAGCATCTAAGATTTGTGCCTGAGTTTGTAGACCCTTAATTTGCTCAGATGTAGTGTTTTCAAGTTTTTCATGTTGTGAAGATTATGGGACTTCACATCCACGTACATATAACGTCCCGCATTTGTACTAGTTTCTTAAGATACATTTCTAGAAGTATACTTCCGGTTCAGCAGTATACACATATTAATTGCTATTGTCAGGCACGTTTCTGGGTCATGAAGGCAATTGCAAGTAAAATCTAATCTCTTATTCTCTTGTCACTATTGTCTGGCTCTAACTGGACAGTACTATATTTCTCTGGGCATTATGGGTGGCTGCTGGGGCAGGTGGCAGAGAATCTTACAGACCAAGTCAAAGAGGCTAAGATGCTACTCCCAAATACAGGCAGTGCAAACATTTTACATTGATGTAGACCAGATGCCTGCCACTCCACTTGACAAGCATTTACATGGAGTCTAATCTGGCAAGGAATCCTGCGCATCAGGATGCGAGACTGAGGTTTGATGAAGCAGTCTAGAGGATGGGAGTAAGTACTGGGGATTGGGAGTATTCTTCACACGATAAGGCATTTGTCTGATGAAAACACTCAGGACCCAAAGGTAA